ATTTATCAACTTGACACTTTTTATCTGCCTGTTTGATACATATTCCATTAAATATTTAGATCATTATTCACGATGAACTAATGAAATATTTATATAATGTTATACAATTAGAATTTTACATTTTTAATCAAGAAAACTAATGTAATCTACAACAATAATAATAATTAGACATTTTGAAATCTGAATACTTTATTGAATGGTACATTGATCTACATACTGCATGCACTGAAATATTTTCCAACATAATGATCATAATATTAAAAGGTTGAGTTCCTGACTTTGTGAGATTCACTTTATAAGATGCTTTCATTTTATATTAACACATGGTTAACATCTTAACAGCTTAGCAGCAATATAAACAGGGTAAATCAATGTAAGTGAATAACATTTTCTTATCAAAAGTGAATCATTTCATACTCATACTCTTTCTTAAACTTGTTTTTGCCTGAATTACAATAAATGAACACAAATGTTTTTCCACATGTATAACTTCTTACTATTATTGTTCTACAGTGTAATTAAAGTACAAAAAAAATCATGTGGACTTTGGAAGGTTAACTAAGAAATGTCAACGTATTGGTTGCATTCTTATTTTTAAGATTGCTTCTGTCATAACAGGTTCGCTGGCTAGACCAAGCAACTCAAATGGCAGGCCTGTATCTGCATTCGATTAAAGCTTTTAAACCAAATATTTCATTCTTTTCTATCCTTGTTTTGAGGAGGTCTCTTTTAAAACTCATGAATGATGATGAAAAGGGGAAAAGGGACAAGGGAAACTAAAATCTATATTATGGTCTAGTTAATATTAACTTCAATGCAACACCATGTAGATCCTGAAAATGATAGTGGTTGAAAGTACAAAGATTAACTTGGTTGAAAATACTAATTTTAACCTGGTTGAAAGTGTTAATATTAAACTTCAGTGTAACTATAAAAAGGGAACTGGTGCTGTCACTGAGATGGTCTGGAGCAGTGCACACGGTAAAGGAAAGAAGGTGGAAAATTAATATCAACAATGACAAAAATAAGGTAATGTAAAACTCACATTCTGCTCTATTACCTGTCACTTTTCTGTTTAATTTGGACCTTGCAATTTTTTTAAGCAAAGTGTGCCAGAAATATCTACACAAGTGTTATATTGCCTTTCTGCACTGTTTATTTAGTAGGAAACATAGACAACTTTAGCAATAATTCAAAGATCATTAGTAAAAGAAATACATATTAACATGGCAATGTTTATAAGGGTCAGTTTAAATACCCCTAGATAACCCCATGTCCAAAAAAAGTTGGGATGTTGTGCAAAATGTAAATATAAACAAAATGCAATAATGTGCAAATCACATAAGCCCTATACTTATTTGAAAATAGTACAAAGACAACATATCAAATGTTGTCTTTGTACTATTGAAATGTTACTGTTTTTTGAAAAATATATGCCCATTTTGAATTTCATGCCAAAAATACATTCCAAAAGAGTTGGGATGGGGGCAACAAAAGGCTGCGAAGTTGGGTAATGCTAAAAATAACACCTGGTGTTTAATCGGCAACAGGTGAGCGATATGATTGGGTATTAAAAACTGCATTAAAAACAGACATGATTATGTAGAGGAAATCACTGCATGGGTTCAGAAACACTTCTGAAAACCACTGTCTGTGAAAAGTCTGCCGCTGCATCCACAAATGCAAGTTAAAACTCTAAAACACAAAGACGAAACCATATATAAACAGGATACAGAAATATTGCTACCTTCTCTGGGCCTGAGCTCATTTAAAATGGACTGAGGAGAAGTGGAAAAGTGTCCTGTGGTCTGGCAAATCAAATTGCATTTAAAATTCTTTGTGGAAATCATGAATACTGTGTCCTCCGGGCTGAAGACCACTCAGCTTGTTATCAGTGAACAGATCAAAAGCCAGTTTTCATGATGGTATAGGGGTGCATTGGTGCATATTGCATGGGTGATGTGCACATCTGTGAAGGCACAATCAATGTTGAATGATATATATGGGTTTGGCAACATATGCTGCCATTCAGATGACATTTTTTTTCAGGGAAGTACTTGATTATTTCAGGAAGACAATGTCAAACCACATTCTGCATGTATTACAACAGCATTGCTCCATATTAAAAGAGTTCAAATGCTAAACTGGCCTTCCTGCAGTCCAGACCTGTCACCACTGAAAACACTTGGCGCATTATTAGGTGAAAAATACATCAAAAGAGACCATGAACTGTTGAGCACATGAAATCCTGTATCAAACAAGAATGGAAAACATTTAACTTTCAAAACTACAGCAATTGCTTTCCTCAGTTCCCAAACGCTTAAAAAGTGCTTTTAAAAGAAGAGGTGATGCAGCACAGTAGTAAACATGCCCCCGTCCCAACTTTTTTGGAACGTGTTTTAGGCATTAAATTCAAAATGGGCACATATTTCTCAAAAAACAATAAAATTTCACAGTTTCAACATTTGATATGTTGTCTTTGTAGTATTTTCCTTTAAACATATGGTTTGTATGATTTGCACATCACTGCATTCTATTTTATTAATATTTTGCACAGCATCCTAACTTTTTTGGAAATAGGGGTAAACTTAAATACCTGCACACCTCCTCTGCAATTTTTAAGAAATAACATCAGAACCACTCTGTACTCATAAAAATGTGGCATCAACAGCATACATAACAATGAATCCAAAGTAAAAAGATGTTTGATTTATATTTCAAACAAACATGGGACAATTTACAAAAGTGTACTCAAATCATTAAAAATATCCACTTCAAGAGGTAAAGAGAAGATCAGCCTAAAAGAAAAAACAAAAACAAACAAGTAAACAACCAAACAAAAAATCGAGAACAACATGAAAAATACACAATATATTATTATTATATATACAAAATTGGGCATTCTAAAAGAAATGCGTCACCAAACCTGCCCCCATACAACGGCAACGCTAAAATGAACATTTTAAAGAAACAGCTTCACAATAAAATGTGGCATCAACAACATACAAAACATCCAATGTTGATATCATGGCACTCTTAATATGTTTAATAGACCCTCCCTCTCATTGCAACTGCAATGTTTTGTTTTTCCAGAATCCCTTGAACATATGATGGAAGAGAGTCAGTGATGATAACTAAACAATGATTATTGTGCTTATATTTCATATCATACACCACATGCACTCCTGTAACTTCCACCAGCAAAAGAAAAAAATTAAATGGTGTCAGTAATGAGCTAAACCCCACGGTGGACATCACATGACCTTGGTATTGCCGTAATGCAGTTATAATCGCAGCACTAATTTTTTGTACAAGCCTGTTAATCAAACTCTGCTCATGGATTGTTCAACTGTCTGAACCTAAAAGGTCACATTATTGTTTTATGATATTTATTTTTAATGTAAGTTAATGTGGTGAGTTATTTTGCTATTTCTGTTGGTCCCTTCTTCCAGAATGTGTCATCATTTTGACACAATGTAAAGGGTTGAACAACTACTAAACTCATATAATGTAGAAAAAATTGGAGACACTTTTGGGAAAACAACAACATTGTTGCTGGTTTTTTTATATTTGAATGACTTTTTTTGAGTGGGTCAACATGGCAAAAGAAATGTCAAAGCAAATGATTCACTTTTTAAAAAGGAATTATTAGTTCAATAAATTTCATAATTAAATTTATGTAACTAAAAAGTGAATTTATTGTGGAATTTATTTAAATACAAATTTGATTTATTGTAAAATGTTTCATTTCATCAAATTATCAATTCATCATTTCATCAAAATACCATTTTGCCTTTCGACGTTTATTTACATTTTTTACTTACAAGATAATACAAAAGTGTGTATTCAACAGAAGGTAGAAAAAGATTTCATTGATCAATTTAATTGATAAATGAATTGAACAGTCTTTGTAATAATATAACAGACTTTGTCTTATTGGCAAAGAAGCTTTATGGAGCAGGAATAGCTGGTGAGCTGACTAAACGAAAAGTAGATATAATCCACATCAGAATTACTGAAAGAAAATTCCTTTGCAAGAATTTTGTTGCAGCTGCGAACAAGTTCACTTTGACACTTGTTGTTTAGTATATAAATGACTTGACAAGGTAAACACAGGTACAGAACAATCACGCTCTGTTTAAAATGCTTCTCTTTCTTTTGTGTCTTGCCGACACATATTCCTAAAAATAAAATACTTGACTATAAAAGTAATGTGTGAGACCATTTTCCAGTGTTTGCCAAACTTGTATGTGCTTAAGTCGATTAGTCCCCAATGACAATCCCATCCTAAACCATCACTGTTTGTTGAAGATGGCAACCAAAGGCTTTTCAATTTTCATCATCCCATATTTGAAAATTTATATGAGTGTCTTAATTACTTTTTCCCATATTAACAGGTTATTACTATTCTATTACCTCTTGCATTAAAAATATAAGAAAGCCATGCTGATTAGAGAATATTTGTTTTTATTTATTTATTTTATTTTATTTTAAGTGTAGCTATTTCATGAGCAAAGGTACAGTACCAACAGTAAATGATTCAACACTTGGGTAAGAGTGAATAGAATGGCATGGTGGCTGCAGAGATAATGCATTACTTCACTCTGCTATAAACAACATGGTTACCTTGGGCCTCATTCACCAATCGTTCTTAAGAAGAAGTTTCTAAATAAAACCTACTTTTGCCATTTTCACGAAGATTCTGACATTCATCTATGTTTTCTTGTTTGGGATTTGTTCCTCGGTAAGAACAGAATCTAAATACACTCAAGGGCACAAAAGGTGTGAACAACTGTGTGGCTTAAAAACACAGTATACATCTCATGTAGCCTTATTCATAGGACCTTTCTCAAGAAATTCTCAACACATTTCAGAAAAAAAAACTTAGGAAGATATTGATGAATGAGGCCCACTGCCCTTCACCTGGATCTTACTGCCACCTTCTTACGTATATTGTGTGCACCTCCCCTGGAAGTCACAGTGACAGTGCCGGTTCCACCTTTCCACATTTGCGTCATACATCTTTGATGCTGCCTCCTCTTTAACAGGCCAAAAGGCATAGCAAAGACGATGAACTCAAGGTAAAGTAAACCGTAGACTCTTTTTTAGCACTTTTCTGTCAGATCTATCTCCTTGTAATGGCTTTTAGACAACAGTATCAGACTAGCCACCATAGTTAATCTCAGCACTTCAGTGTTACACGTGGAAACGAAGCACACTTGAAGTGAAACATGTTCTGGCGTGTTCGCTAAATGTAGTAAATAAAAGACTGAATGAGGGGGTGGTTCAACGATGAGTCTAAATGGGAGTTATGACAAGCAATGACACTTAACTGTCAATTACATTTTTTATTTCTTTTCAACACAAATACAAACCTTCAGGCTAGGCACATGTGAGTGGTTTCCGTACAGGATGTGTGACGATGTGGGGCCAAATCCAAACTTTCAGAACACATTTGTCCCACAAAGGACACATTTAAGGATTACCACAAAACTTTTTTGCTGCAGGCCTATTTCTCTGTTGTTGGGCTTTTGAAAACAAGCAGGAACTTGGATCATGCTAAACGCTACCTGCTACACGTTGCTGTTAGCCATGTAGCATTTTTGGGTGAAGCCACAAACTTTGGAAGACTATAATGTGGTGGTGGTGGTTGTGGTGGTTCAGTTTATTTATGTCCTTAAATCTGTATTCAGTGACAATCACAGTGGCATGAAGTAGCTAGCTTTGCTTTTCCAGGCTTGTTACATACTAAGGCGTATTTTTCAGTAACTACAAGGACTTCAATGCAAACTGGCTGAGCTATTCTTAGGTTATAGAAGAGTGTTATAAAACTTTGGGCCTACCGGCAGGCCTGGCAATAAGTTTTGGCTCAATGGGATAAGATTCTACAGAGACCAGTTTACGTACAGGATGTGTGAGGATGTGGAGCCAAATCAAAACCTTTAGAACACATCTGTCCCACAAATGACACATTTAAGGGTTGCTGCACAACTTGTTTAACTGAGTTTCCCTTTTTAGCTGCAGGCCTATTTCTCTGTCATTGGGCTTTTGAAAACGTGCTATAGTGTGAATCATGCTAAACATTACTGTTAGCTATGTTAGCATTTCTAGATAACGCAGACCTTTCTGAATCACCTTATTTGAATGGTTGGTGTTATTTATGCCATTAAATATTCATTTCACATGACGTAGCTAGCTCTGCTTTGAAACTCAAAAACCTGTTTTAGAGAGGTTTTTGGAGTTTTTACAGAGATTATACAGCATCTAAAATTTATCTAAAAAGTGTGGTCAAATGCTATACGTTTTTATTGATAAGACATAATAGGTTCTGTTCCAGATGATAGAAAGTGAGAAAGATTTTAAGTAGATGATGATGTTTGGATAAATGTGTCTATAAACAACCCCCTAGTTAACAGTGACCTATTCATCAGATGTGGGTAGTAACTAGTTCAGCTTAAGCTGGGCCTACGTTACACAGTTCTTAGCCTGATTTGCCACTTCTGACAAATTTTCACAATCTAAAGTAATTTTCCATGTTGGTAGCTGGATCAGAAGTGATTGATTTTCAAACATATTTTCAAACATTTGTTCTGTAGTGTGATATGGTCAATGACTCAACAAGTGATTCGGGCAGCAGTCAATGAGAGAGCAATAAAAGTGGAGGAAAAACTTTAATAAGATGTTTAGGCATTCCATATGTGTAACAAACTGCTGAACAGATCACAGGCCAATAAGAGCCTTTATTATGCATATAAATAGCCTTTATTGTGTATTTTTTCAGTATGCATGAAAGCACAAACAAGTATGGTGCCATTTAATGTTGCTTGTGTCACATGTTAATGGTGGGGGTTTGAGAGTTTGAGTTATTATTCATATCTAAACTTGTTAAGTTATACTCTCTTTTTGCCTTATTATTTTGCCTTAGATTTTAGAAGTTGTGTAGTGTACACCCAGCTTTACGCAGCTCTGAGGGGTAAAATGAAATATTCCATCCTGTTTTTCATCTGCTTCCTAAAGGGGGAGGTTGTTAACAGCTTTAACAAGTGCTGACCAATGTTCTTTCATACAGTAGTGGGGTGACAAAAAAAGGTTTTTGATGACCAAAATTGTACAAGTGATGCTGAATATTTTTTCAGCTGTTTTGGTATGTTATACAGGCAGAACAAATAAATAAGGTAGACTCAGGAATGCACTAAAAATATTTTTTTCATCTTAAGCCTCTGAATCAAACAGTTCCATATATCCACATAGTGGATTGTTGCCAACATTTTTACTAAGCTTGTCCAACCTCACATAAGTGTCTATGAAATAATGATCAGAACATGAATAGGTCAGAATAGAAGAGCATTTTTCATATAAATATGCTGTTAATCTCATATTTGTGTGTGCTTTACCTTCACTTTTTCCTTTTCCTTTGGCATCTGTTGTGAGTTACTGTATATAATAAAATGTAAAATAGTTTAAAAATAGAAATTCTACAGTTACTGCATTTCTGATGGTTCTGATGGACCCTGATCATCTGAATACTTGCTGCAACACTGGTGTAACTTGTGAATTGGTAGCATGAAGCTGTGTGTACCTCATCACATGATCACCTCAGACTTACAAACATTTTCTGTGTTTCTCTTTAACCGTCTTTACCCTTATGTGTGGTCGTACCAGTATAGACCATTCAACAATAAAGGTTTGTACTTTTATGCTCAAAAAATATTTTTATGCATGGTTATAGTTACAATTGTTATAATATCAAATATCGTCATATTATAGTTGATTCCAATCTTGCCATTAAAAAGAAAATGAAAAAAAGTAGTAAATGTTGTTTAATTTGTCAATTAGTTGTTATATCAGAGATTGTTTAACCACCGAAGCAGCAACACTGTATTTTAATGTATTGATGTTCCATAATTGACTTTCTGTCAGACTACCTGGGCTCAAGCCGATGTCAGAAATGTCCTCATGTTAAAAGAGAAATGAATAATCATTTTAACTCTCTGTTCTAATTATTTTACATAATCTCTCTCTGTCCTTATTTTCAGGTTCTGGGTGGCAAGCATTGCTGGAGCTAATAAAGCAAGATGCCTACATAAAAGCTGGTGGTCATTTTAGCTCATACCAGTTTACCAACACATGCGTCCTGGACTCATTCCTTGCTACTTTTCACATTTGTTATATTAAATATCCAAACATAAAATATCTCTTAGAGTCACACTCCTCGCTCAGGATTGTTATGGCTTATTTGGATACAGAAAATTATAATGATGCCAAAGCTCTCTGGATGAAACTGCTAAGATGGTTTCCTAAAAATAAAATACTTGACTGTAAAAGTCGTGTGCGAGACCATTTTCCAGTGTTTGCTAAACTGGTATGTGCTGAAGTTGATTATCGTCAAGAAACCCCGAATGACGATGCCATATATGAAACAATAAGGTAAGCAATGAAAATAAATAACAACAACAACAGAGCTTCTCAGCAGAGGCCTGGCAGGTCACGTCTTCAAAAAGCCTTTATATTTAAACTCTCAAAATCTGAAGCATTTTTTGAAAAAAAGTTGACAAGATGTGTAAGCATTCTTTTTGAACGCAGCCTAATAAAAGCCTTTATCATGGTTATGATGTATTGATCCAGAAGTCAGTTTGTAATGAAATCCTCCAGCTCTCTTTGTGATATCAATGTTTCCCAACCCCATATTTATTCTTAGTTGTGTTTTGATTATGCATTAATGCCTGAACAAGTTTATTCCAGTTTAGCTTTGTTTGATTCTAAAACTATCTGAAGCACTGTTTGAAATCAATTGTAGAAATTAAATGAAAGTTTTTGCTTGACATGACCTGCCAGGTCCTAGGTCAGGGGTCAACATGTGGCTTTTTTACTGCCCTGTTGCAGCTTCAGAGCAGAATTAGATTTTTAGGTAAAAATAAAATAATCCTCCTTTGCAGTAAAATAAAGCTCTGCTGATTTTTCTAACACATTGTTAACAATAAATGGTCTTAAATGCTGGAGTTAAAGTAGAACTGCTAATTTACACTTTAACCCTGAAGGTTGGTGTGCAGACTGCTGGTCACTATAGCAATGCAGACAACAATCACACCTAACTAGTAGCTAACAAAAAGGCAAAGACAAAGATCTCTCGAGACAAACGTTGATATTTTGGAGATAAATGAACTTACTTGAGTTTATAAGCACTTCCTGTTACATTAAATCTGCAACAAGAAACTGTCAAACACAAAAAAAATGCAAAGCTGAGATCAGCTTCTCATTTACAAGCTCTTTGTTCGAATTCTCCCATTCCACCTTAAATGGTGCGGCAGTTAAATTAATTTAAGGTGGAACTGGAAAGTTCACTCAAGAACTTGAAAAATGAGAAATGAGAAGCTGACTTCAACGTCATAAAAAGTCAAAGGTTGAGGGACATTTTACAAGAAACTATTCCACTTTTGCAGGAAAGTTTCCTGCCAGAGATGCAAGAAAAGCACCTATAGCTGAGCTAAAGCTTATGGCAGAGGAAAGTGATTCTGTGCTACAATAGGACATTAGCACGTACTGAGACATATTCACAGCCAAAATGGTAGAATAGACATAAAATATGGTGGCTCCCAAGGTGGGTTGATTTTTGTTGAAAGCTTAACATTTGGGTTGCTGACCCCTGTTCTAGGTTGATTGGTATGAAATGTAGACAGGGTAGATTGTCTACCCTGTAGACAATAATACATTACATTCTTACTTCCAAATATTCTCACATTTATCTTCCCAGTAAATTTCGGGCACTTGGTGATGTGAAGGTTTTGGGCCATGCGGATGATCCTGCTCTTATTTTGGTGCGTCAAGATTTTTGCAAAAATCTTCCTAAACCACCGCTGTTTGTTGAAGATGGCAACCAAAGGCAACTCCTCAAATTTACCAAAAATAATACTAAGCAGTAAAACTGGTCAGATGTGTGTTGGTTTACCTTTGTGATCATCCATGTCTCACAAATACTGTCTTCTTCTATCTTTTAGGATATATAAGCTTCAGTTTCTGCTGCTGGGTCAACAAACTCACATGTTCAAGTGTTTCAACTTATCAGAGAACAGCTGGATTCTCTATGACAACGAGCCGAGTTCTGGGTTATCAACTTTTCAGTTTTTCAACTTCGAGCAGCAGCTTGGCCATTATGTCATATGCTACGCTGGCTATGTTAATACAACACAAGCTAGTGTTAAATATAAATATGGTACGGGTTTCTATGTTTTTATAAATGGCCCTCCTGTTTGAAGTTTTCATTGATTGACATTTTCCTTTGTTTCTCTCTGTAGGAATTCCTGAGACTGGAACAGGAGCACAGCCTTTCTCCATTGAACTAGACAACTTGTGCCACTCTCTAGCTGCACTCAAGATTTAGTCCAATTTTTAAATAGTAATCTTTTCTGTAAAGCAGAATGATGTTTTTGTAATTAAACACTCAAATTGAAATGAAAGTGTGGAGCATCTGCTTTAATTTAAAGGTATGATTACCTCAGGTTAAGCATGTACAAATTACATTCTTTTCAGTCCCCCTTTTTTTAGGTCACCAAAAAGTTTGACAATTGACAATTGTTTTATTGTACTAGAGGTCTAGAGTTGATGTTCTTCTTAACATAAGGACTAAGAAATGCTCAATTTCAGGAAAGTAAGCCATTGAGAAGACGGAAAATCATAGACACAGCCAGAGCATATTTATAAATGAATCGATTGGTACATTGATAAATAGCAGTAATTGAGCTTAACAATGGCAGTCTGGTAAATCAAGACATAACCCAGCCCCCCCATTCCTGACCAGACATTGCACCAATAAAGACATGAGCATGTCCAGCTGCAGAGCTGAATCACTTGTAAAGAGAAGTGATGATGTGACTGCAGAGAGAACAATGATTTCTGAAGTGAACAGAAACATCTTAGCAACTCAGATCCAGCCAAGTGGCACTAACATCTTTGACTGGTGCTTAACCTTGCCGCAAGACAAAGACCCTGAACTTACTACTACAGCAACTATGCTAAAACAGTACATGGAGTTGACCAGCAAAGTTGGGCACTCATTCTAAATTTCATTGTCCATCAAAGATACAGAGAATATGAGACTTATCAACCATACAAGACCTGGTAGACCACCAAAGCCACCCCCATTAGCCCTTAGGATCTAGGACCCTAGGATAATTTGGGATAAAGAATATCACAATTGCAATTATAAATCATTACATGACACACATGCCATATGTTGTTATTTTCAGGAGACCCTGGGCTACTCAAACCAATTTTAAATACTGAGTAAATGGCAAATCAATTGATATTTAGAGGTACTTGCTAATGACTAATTAATTATATATTTATAGATTAGTTAACTGCTCAGTAAACATTAGCTATTACTTTTTTACTGAGTAATTACTAATTCAGTATGCTGTAACCTAATAGTTTAGTTGGTGACAAGTTCATTAATTAAATACACCTTAATTATGTACTAACTGCTTCTTATTACACTGCTATTAAACTGTTCACTCATAAATAACTAGCATAAGACTTGTTTAGTAGTTATGAGTTAGTCCTGTTAATTATCTGTTATTAATTTACTGATATATTGTTATTAATGAATTACTACTTTGTGTTCCTCCCTGTAAAATGATCAGTTTTATTAGTAATTATATTATAAACTAATTATACTATCATGAAGTTGTGACTAATTACTGATCTTAATATCTTTCTAAGAATAAATAATGCTGTATTAATGTAGAAATGATGAAAAGTTAATTACTTATTAACAACAAAATTAATCTTTAATTTCCAGTGTTTAATGTGAAATATTACCACTGTATTTGATTTCTACCCATCTATGTAGAGACTCCTATTGCAGCAACAAACAAATTTTATTGAAATATGCAGAGAAACAACTATTTTATTCTGCTTGAAGGTTTTATTGATACTCAGGAAAGACAGGAAAAACATTTTTTATTGTCTTAGAGTAACTAAAATGGTCTCAAGAACAATTTCTGAATCCACCTTACCCCCAGACTGAGGCATAAGTGGGACTGATTTAAGACAATGGTCTCAAAACCAAGACAGGAGTCAAACATTACAACACTATCCAATACTAGAATGTATGGCTTTCAGAAAAAAGTACTAAACTGTCGGTGGGGTGGTAGCCCTCAAGGGTACATCTGCATAACCTTTAGTTAGGAAGCATAATCCATTGTAATTATATTATAAAAGCCCCATTGGCTCCACAAACCCTTTCTTCACTCCAGCCTTTTCATTTTAATGGTTCTGTTTTAAGAGTATTAGATAATGAAACTGTACAAACACACCTTTCCCTTGGGAGACACTTATTTAATTTGAAGGCACATTTCAATTGTTCTTTGATGAATGAAAAATGTACCTACATAGTAACTTTTTTTCTGAGAGTGTGCATCGAGGTACATTCTATGTAAATAGAACTTTAAACAGTAATTCTGCAATTTATTTTGAATATTGATTTACTGCATCATAACACACTTTCCTTTACACTAACAGATTGAATACAGTGTAATCACAGTATAAAGTGAATCACTTTGAATTAATGAAATTTTCTTTGTAAAGACTGAATCATCATCTAACATTTGGAGCTTCATATGAATTTCGTACTCTTAACAGCTTCACAGATATTATTAGTTAGATGTAATATTACTAATTAACAGAAAATGACTTTCCACATGTACAGCTTATTAGTATTATTTTACATTGTATTTACAGTATTATTACAATTTAACAGCCACAATTTCATGTATAAATGGAACACCATGTAGAACAAACTGTATTTATTTATTTGCTGTGTCATGACAGTTTGCTAAACTGGCTCACTCAAATGGGAGGCCTGTATGTGTGTTATATTAAGGCTTTTAAATTGATTATTTCATTTTCTTCTATTTCTAAGTCACGGAACCAGTAAAAACAGTAAATAATGCAACAGTGGCTGCAGAGGTGATGCATTACTTCAAACTGAATGCTAGCAAAACTGAGTTGCTTTTAATTGGCTCAAAGTCACTGATATCTGGCTCATCTGTCCTTGGCATCAATATTGATGGGATTCTGGTAACACCTTCTCCCCACGTCCACAACCTCAGAGTTATTTTTGACCCTCCACTCTCTTTTGACATCCAAATCAATTCCGTTGTTAAGA